ATGAGGGCAATGAATGTACAAATGTGCTTTACACAACTGATGTATGTATGTATTGTGATGAGAGTTGTATGAACCCCTAATAAAACGATTAAATATATATATTTTTTCCAAGACATATTTGTTTGTTCTTTTGGCAGTCAATGGAACTTTCAATATTCTTCATCAATACCATCGTTTAAATGCGTTGATTTTTCTTTGGTCTTCCTTATTCAATATCGAACTTTCTCATGCATATGAGGCAATTGAAAACAACATGGCTTGGGTCAGGCGTACCTTGATCCTCAGAGTAGCATCCTTGCTTTTCAACACTTTAAAGAGATCTTGTGTGTCAGATGTACTGAATGCAATGAGTCTTTTGATCTCTTGACGGCTGGCTTTCATGATCGTTGATTGTGGATGCAAGCAAGACCAAATCCTGGACAACTTCGAACTCTTCTTGGTTTATCATGATGTTACCTATTGGTCCAGTTGTGAGGATCTGAGTTTTCATTATAATGAGTTGTAATTCATACTGAAGGCTGCAATCCTATCTTCATTAGCAAGTGCTTAAACAAGCAGAGTGGCATCATATAAGATATTTTAATAAGCCTTCCTGATGCCACACTCTTCTTCATATAATCCAGCTTCTCTGATGACTTGCTCAGCGTACAGATTGAATAAATATGGTGAGGAGATACAATCCTGATGCACAACTTTCCTGATTTTAAACGATGCAATACTCCCTTGTTCTGTTCACACAACTGCTTCTTGATTCAAGTACAAGTTCTGAGTGAGCACAATGAAGTGTTCCGGAATTCCCACTTTTATCAAGGTGATCCACAGTTTATTATGATCCACACAGTTGAATGCCTTTGCATAGTCAATGAAACATAAGTAAACATTTTTCTTGTGTTCTCTGATGTCAGCAATGAGGTAAGGGCAATTTATAATTGTAGGAAAATCTCTTCTCTTACTCCCCCCACACCCCTATCCTTCTTTCTCTCGGCATGGCAGAAAGATGACTTCTATGGAGATGTAGCCCACACTCCAGCTGACCTACAGCTCTCTTCTGCATTAAGAAAGTCCCAGACCTCTGGCTGTGAAGGAAATAGCACCTGTGTTCCTGGTCGAGTCTTCGGGGTGTATGTTCTGGACAGTTTGGGTAAGACCTGAAGGACTGGGACCTCAGTCTGACCTGAATCATAGCCTCACAGAATGGAGGAGGGAGAGATGAACAAGGGCAGAGGTTGTGACTAGCTCAGGACACGTTGATCAGTGTGTGTTTTCTAATCAGTGTGGGAGCTGCTGAAGGACTGAACCCTGAATCGGCTTTCAGCAGAGAGCCACGGGGCTGAGGGAGAGAACAAGGGGCAAAATCTGAAGACTCTCCTCACCTACGAATCTGTTGCAGGAATTAGCACTTTCCAAAGTGTCTTGTACACAGGAGATTGAGAAAGCAAATACACTGTAATATTTAAATGTCCTGGGTTTCAATTTAAAAAATAACAAAGCACACAAAGGAACTGGAAATGATAGCCCATTCAAAAGAACAAGGCAGAGGGAGAGAATTTGTCTCTATGGAAACCTAGATACTGAACAGATTGGAAGACTTTAGTACAATATTAAAGGAGCTCAAAGAACTGAAGGAAATCAGGAAAATGAAGCAAGAATAAAATGAGGATATAAAGAGATAGACACTATACAAATAAACCCAACAGAAATACTGGAATGGAAACATATAATGGAAACACAAAAAAACTCATTGAGAGGATTTCACAGCAGATTTGAGTTATCTGAAGAAAGAAAAATCCACAAACTGGTGGAAAAGGTAATTGAAATTATGGAATCTTTTTAATTTTAATCATTTTATTGGGGACTCCATACAACTTTTATCACAATCCATATATCCATCCATTGTGTCAAGCACTTTGGTGCATTTGTTGCCATCATCATTCTCAAAACATTTTCTTTCTACTTGAGCCCTTTGTATCAGCTCATTTTTTCCCTTCCCTCCCCCACCCTCCCTCCCTCACGAACCCTTGATAATTTATAAATGATTATTATTTTTTCATGTCTTATACTGTCCAATGTCTCCCTTCACCCACTTCTCTGTTGCCTGTCCCTCTGAGAGGGGCTTATATGTAGATCATTGTGATCAGTTCTCCCTTTGTCCCCCACCTACCCCTTCCCCTCCTGGTATCACTACTCTCATTATTGGTCCTGAGGGGTTTCTCTGTCCTGGATTCCCTGTGTTTCCATCCCTGTGTACCCATGTGCATCCTCTGGTATAGCCAGATTTGTAAGGTAGAATTGGGATCATAAGACTGGGGGTAGGGGGAAGAAGCATTTAAGAACTAGAGGAGAGTTGTATATTTTATCGGTGCTATACTGCACCCTGACTGTCTCATCTCTTCCCTGTAAGGGAATGTCTGTAAGGGAATGTCCAGTTGCCTACAGATGGGCTCTGGGTCTCCGCTTTGCACACTCCCTCATTCACAATGATGAAATTATGTAAACTTAAGAGCACCAAGAGAGAAGGCTAAAGAGTGCTTAGTATAACTTAATAGGAATGTGGAAAGCATCAAATGAACCAACATGCCCATCATGAGACTCTCAGAAGAAAATGGGAAAGAGAAGGGGACAAAAACCATATTTAAAGAATGACAGAAGATTTTCCAAATGTGAGAAATTATATGAATCAGTAAATTGAAGAAGTTCAGCAAACCCCAAGTAGGATAACCCCCAAATGATCCACACCAAAGACCTATCAAGCTCTCCAAAATTGAAGATCAAAAGAGAATCCTAAGTGCAGCAGGACAGAAGCACATCTCTTCTCAGAAACCTTGGTAGCCAGAAAGCAATAAAATGACATATTTAAGGGTTCAAAGAAAAGAACTGTCTACCAAGAATACAATATCTGGCAAAGCTGTATTTCAAGACTGAAGGCAAAGTTAAGACATTTCCAGATAAAGAAAAGCTAAAGGAGTTTGTGATCAAAATACCTGCTCTAGAAGAAATACTAAAGGGAGTCCTTCAGAAATAACAAAAAGGATACTAGATAGTAACTCAAAGCCACATGTAGAAAAAAAGATTCCCATTAAGAGTACTGTCTTGCGGGGGAGGGAGGGGAAGGGTGGGGACCTGGTGTCGGGGGTTTGAGTGGAGAGAAAATGTTTTGAGAAATGATGTATGGGTGCGCTTTGCACAATTGATGTGTGTATGGATTGGGATGACAGTTGTATGAGCCCCTAATAAAATGTTTAAAAAAAAAAAGTACTGTCTTGGGCAAGAAGGGGCAATTTTAAGGGATTTTGGGGGGGTTGGTAAGTCTAATTGTTATGTCTCTCATGTTTAAGAATGATAAATCACAAAAATAAGTATAAATTTATGTTACAGGCACATGATATATGTAGATATAATAGGTGGGAAACAGAATTCATATAGCAATAGAGTTTTTGTAACTGTTGGGAAGGAAAATCCAACTCCAACTCAATTTCAAGCAGATTATTATAAATGTATGATATTAAATGTCATGTATCTTCAAATATACATGAAAGGAGAAGGGAATAAAAATGTTTCAATACAACTAAACAAAAATTTTGACATTATTGGAAGGAATAAAGGACAAAAGGGCATAATATACACACACAAACATCAACATAGCAGAAGTTACATCCTTTCTTATAGGCAATTACTGTATTTACTGAATACAAATAGATTAAATGCTCCAACCAAAAGACAGAGTGGCAGAATAAAAATTTTAAAACATGATTCAATTGTATAGGTTTATAATAGACTCGTTTTAGATCCAAGTCGGTTGGAAGTGAAAGGATGGGAAAATATTCCTCACAAATCATAGCCAGAAGAGGACGAGGGTGGTGATTTTAATATCATCCAAAATGAACTTTAAGTCAAATCAGTCATAAGAGACAAAGAATGACAGTGTATCACTACAAAAGGATCAATTGATTAAGACGATATAACAGTTTGAAACCACTGCCTGCTCTGTGGGAGAAAGATGAGGGTTTTTACTCCCACAAAGAGTTTCAGTCTCAGACACCCACAGGGACATTTCTACACTGTCTTGTAGGGTCACCATGAGTCAGAACGGACTCATGGCAGTGAGTTCTGGCATCAGAATCCCAAAATGTAGAAAACAAACAGTGACAGAATTAATCAGAGGAATAGATAGTTCTACAATTAGACTTGGAGACTTCAACACACCACTTTCAATAGTGGCTAGTGCATGTATAAAGAAGTTCAGTAAAGAAATGGATAGTTTTAATAATGCCATAATCCAACTATATCTAACAGACATGCATATGAGAGGGTTTATGTCAAGAGTTCATGAAAAAGTCTATTATCTTTCTCTTCCACTTTCCAGAAATGATTAGTACACTCTACTCAGTGACAGCACAATAGATCATTCCTCAGGATAAAGCATAGGTAATGCAAAGTGCAAACACCAATATCTATGAAAACATTAAAATAATACCAAGTCTCTTCTCTGACCAGAATGGAAGGAAACTGAAAAAGAATAACAGAAGGGAAACTGGAAGATACAAATGTGTAGAAATGAAACACCACATGCTGAACAACCAGTGGGTGAAGAAAATAGCATAAGGGCCACGTCTGACCTCCTCCGACTTCAGGAGAGGGAAAGAAAATCCAACTCCACACCAGCCCAAGGCCAAGTGAAACAAGGCTGACATTTGACATGTCTCGCTACTCTGTCCAAATCCATGCTAACACCAACCGTCCCTCTAATGCAGCGGTTATCAACCTGTGGGTCGTGACCCTTTTGGTGGTCGTACAACCCTTTCACAGGGGTCGCCCAATTCATAACAGTAGCAAAATGACAGTGATTAAGTAGCAACAAAAATAATTTTATGGTTGGGGGTCACCACAACATGAGGAACTGTATGACAGTGTCGCAGGATTAGGGTTCCATATCAGAAAGAAAAGTAAGGATATGACACCTGATCTTACGGAAATGAAACAGTATAATAAACAAATACTATGGTTATCACTTTAGCTGCCCCTACACTAAACATTGGAATGATACAGAGATCAATGTGGCCCCTGCATAAAGTTGTCATGCAAATTTGTAAAGCATTTCATAGTTTTGAATATCTAATAGATTTGTCTGTCAGTGTTGGAGACAATTGCATAATGATATTTTATTTTCTTGCTAATAAAAAGAAAATGTGATGAACACTAAATGAGATAACCTAGATAAAATGGATAAATACCTAGAAACACATAAATTCAAGGGGGAAATAGAAAATCTCAGCAGTTCAATAATAAATCAAGAGATTGAGTCAGTACTCAAATACAATAAGTGAATTTATGAAAAATTCACAGCTAACATTATACTCAATGGAAAACTAAAATTAAGACTAAGATGTCTGCTCTCAGCATTACTAACTATTCAATATTGTACTGAAAGTCCTACACAGAACAATTAAGAAAAGAAAAAGAGAAGGAAAGGTCGAGTGTCTAAATCAGGAAGAAAGAAGTAAAATTATCTTTTTGCAAATGATATAAACCTATATAGAGAGAGCCCTACTGAATCTACAAGAAAGCTCACCTAGAGTTAATAAATGAATTCAGCAAAGTGACCGGGTATAAGGTCAACACACAAAAATCAGTTGGATTTCTATGTCAATAGTGAGTATTTTGAAAAGGGAATTAAGGAAACAATTCCACTTATAATAAGATCTAAAAGAAGAAAATACCTAGTATTTTGGTCTGGGTTCTCTAGAGAACTAAAACCATAATTTTCAATTCTCTAAGTAGACAGGAGAAAGAAATTTATATCAAGACAATAGCGCACACAGTTGTCAGATTGGTCAAGTCCAAGCATTAGGCAGGTGCCAAGTCCATGGATCAGATGTCAGACTGAAGACTTCTCCTTAGTCACATAACTGTGGGAGTTGATGAACCCAAGATTGGCAGGAAGCCAATAGACTGGTGACTGCAGAGGCGAATGAATCTGAGGTCAGCAGATCAGATAAGTGAAGACTACCAGGGTGGGAAGGCAAGATGGCAGGCTGTTGGCTCAAGTCCTAAGAACTAGAGGCTAATGAACTCCAGACCCAGAAAGAACTAAACAAGCTTTTTCTCCAGTGTCTTCTGTTTTTATAGGAAATAGACTATACCACTAAGAAAAACTCGATCAAAGCAGGCCTGTGACATAAGGAGGTTGCACTCCACTCTAATCTTACAACTGCTTGACTGCTCACTGAAGATCCTATCATGGAGTTGCTTACGTTGTATTGGGTCACATCATGGGAGCTTATTGTGCTTGGGGCCGTGAGTCAGTTCTGACTCATAGCAACCTGAGGCACACCAGGATGAAACCTTGCAGTTAGCAGCCCAAGTAACCACTGCTCAACCAGCTCTCCTTCCTGCAAACCTAGTGCCCAGACTTGAAGCTTGAAATGCATACCTAATCCCTTGTTTCAAGTCGATTCCAACTGCTGGGTGACCCTGTGGTAAAGAGTAGAACTGCTTCCAACAAGTTTCCAACACTGTACATTTTTATAAAAGCACACTACCACATCTTTCTCCCACAGAGCAGCAGGTGTGTTTGAAAGGGACACCTTTGGGCTAGGAGCCAAGTGCTTAGCCA